GGGGGGGTGTTCCTGAAGCCCAAAAAAAACCTCTGGATCCGCCACTGACATATGTTAGTGATGGTTGTTTCCAATTATCAAAGTGACGGTATTATTTAACAATGACATGCCATGCCAAATAAAATAGATTCTGTATCAGTGACGATGACACTTCCAGGATGTGTTATGTTAATTATTCTATTCTTTCTTTTAATCGTAAATATACATGAGCGAAAGTACTTCAGTGAGAGCATACCCTAATTTGTCAGGAATGATATATCTTTCACGTATCCTGTTGCTGATCTTTCATAAAAAGAGATAATTACGTCATGGGGATCACATGGATCCCCCAGACCTTGAAATTAAAGGCGCTACAATCTCCTCTTTGTTATTCCCGAAATTCCAAGGATTTTGTCAATTAACATTCTCTGCATCCCCGGAATATGTCTTGACAAAGTCGAAGGAACGCGGTCAGCAAGTCAAAAATGCTGACCAATCGCTATAGGCACTCCAGGGGTGACGCTCACTTACGCTTTCTGCATCCCTGGTATATGTCATAATACAATTGAAGGCACGCAGCTAGCTATTTCATTGGTTTCAGGTAGAAACAAATCTGATGATGCATAGCGATTGGTCGGGCTCTTTGTTTTTTTTCACCTGAAACTAATCAATATTGCTGATCGCCTGTTTTCGACTTTATCATGACAGTTATAACGTACTCCCTTTTCGAGGATGACAAGGAGGAGACTGTAGCGCCTTTAATTGCAAGGTCTGGGGGATTTATGTGATCCAGTTGACATGTTTCCCTCTTTTTATGCAAGGTAAATAATAAGATACGTGAAAGATATATCATTCCTGGCAAATTTGGACATGTTATTTGTTTACGATTAAAAGATTAACATCCTATATTTAAGTGTCAACGTCACTGATATATCTATTTCATTTGACATGTCACGTCATTCTTAAATAATATCGCCATTTTAACTGGAAACGGCTATCACTGACACATATTGACAGAACTTTAGTCACATGTGTCGTTTAACTGACGTTTACCGCAATGTAGTGTGAAACAACAATACTACACATTAATGGCCGTGATTCACAGTGGACGTGAAATTGTATGCAGTAGACGTAATATTCGCAATTAGAAAACGTTTTAATAGATCAATAGCTGATTTGAAAGTAGAAATTTGATAAACAAGCTAAGAAGAGCCTTTAAAAGAAATATCGGATCAATGCTAGGAATATAATTATGTTATTCATTAAAACAAAATAGGAAGTAGAACATTAGTAACAGTAGAAGTAGATTTACAATGGAGAACAATAATTTGCGGTAGAAGTAAAAATGGATTCATAGTACACGTGAAATGATTCACAGTACACGTGAAATGATTCACAGTACACGTAAAATGATTCACATTTAGAATACGTAATAATTTATACATAGTAGACGTGAAAATAGAAATCATATAAGCACCCGTCATCTAGGCCCAATCGAGCATATCTTATATTAACAATGTCTCCTTAATTGAAAATCGCCTCTTCCCAATTTATTATTTGTGAATCAAACAGTGAGATGAAAGTTGCCGTGCCATTATGGAGTAGTATGAACACCGAATCTCTACACTTGAGGAGAGCATGGTGAAGAAGTGTGCTGAGGATATGTTACGGAGAATCGTAAATGTGGTGAAAATTCAAGGATACTCCAACGGATAACGGATATTGCCAACAGATACAGCACCATCATTGCCAAACAATGTTGATGCCGCCATAACGGAAATGAACGATCGAAAATCTGGGGAAAATACATACTAATGTATGGAGTCAAAGAAATTTGCTCAAATAACAGGAGTGACAGGATATTCCATGATAAATATATCATACAGAATATATTTGGCAAATGCAACACCATCACTAATGCTAATGATATTGAGAAAGCCGTTCGTAGGAGCAGCGTAACGATAGACCATGGCGTGTAACCTTAGGTAACATTGAAACTAACAGGAGCCTATTTAGGAGCATAGACCTATAGATGCAGATGTCGAATTGCAAAAGAATAAAAAAATAAGTAATTACCATGCAAAGATGGTGCGAGAACAAAAAACCTGCAATGGACAGAAACCAAAAAGAAACGGGAGGAAATCGCGTAGGATGGAATACACTTACAAAGTTTGAGGCCCTCCATGTGCCAGAAAGGTGACCTAAGTAATGACTCGAAAATCAGAGGAAATTTAAAAACGACTGGAACCAGGCTTAATACAGAGAATTTTACTTTTCGTGATGAATTGAAATGGTTTTACAATAATCCTGATCAACAAACAACTTAATAAAATGCCGAAACTTAGAGGGTTTTGTTATAAAGGAGATTGCAAATTATCAGGAAAGATCCAAATAACGAATTAGATCATGAAAAGCTTAAACGTGTGTACACAAATTCGGACCAACTTACTAACACAATCACAGAATTCAATATAAGAGTAAATCAAGTCAATGCAGAAATCATAGAAATAACTGAGTTTTAACCAAAGAATAGTAGATTCAAACCAAACCCAGCAGAATTCTCAATTGATGGATACAACGCTTTCAGCAAAAACAAAATCGACAATAGCATTGGAAGGGGGTATGATTATATATAAAAACATTAACCTTATCGGAGGAAATGAAAGCTAGTTTAAAAAACAGTTTTGTGTGAAAATAAAACTTGACAGTACAGATCAGACAGTTGATCGGAAGTAAACAATGACCGGATGTGTAACCTCATTGATGAAGCAACCGCACTAGGATACTCCACGTTTTTATTATGAGGGACTTATATTACCCGGATATAAACTATGAAACTTACAGCAGTAAAGACAATAGTACAGACTCAAAGGACTTCAAATTCGCGGGGCGTATCCAGTAAAACTACCTATTCCAACACGTGACAAAGTCAATCAGATGGAGAGGAGATGACACACCGAATTGTTTAGATCTCATTATGACGAACGAAGAAAATATGGTATCAAATCTAGAGTTTCAAAGCCCTGTTGGAAAGTGCGACCACTGTGTTCTGATATTGGACTTAAACTGCTACACTAGGATAAAAAAATAAAATGTCATATTGTATATGAAAGCTAACTATGAAGCACAATATAGTGTTTGTTCCGCACAAAAGACTACTAAATAAACTGCAGGCATACCAGTTCTCAAACCAGATGTTAACATGGATTAACATTTTTTGAAGAATAGAACGCAAAGAGTAGTAATAAATGGCGAGCAGTCTGAATGGACACAGCTAGGTATCACCAGGAACCCACAGGGATCAGTATTAGGGCCAATCCTGTTTGTAATGTTTGTAAACGATTGTTCCTATTTGCGGATGACACCAAAATATATAACATCATGAGAAAAAGAAGACGACATGTCAATGGTACAAAGATAGAAAGGAAGAGTGGAGCAAGAAATGGCTACTACAAGTTCACCCGCAAAAATGAAAAAGTACGTGCATATCTTAAATACTACCAAGGAAAGACGTTCGTCAAACATTGTCAATAAACAGGTCATAAAACAAATAGAATCCAAGAAAGATGTATGTGCGACAGTAGAATCTAACCACTCATTTGCCGATCATCGGTGTGATTTTTTTTTAACAAGGCCAATTCCATGCGTGCCATGTTAAGGAGAACATTCCAGTATATGAACGGAAAAATATTTGTAGCACTCTACACAACACTTGTTATGGTTCACTTTGACTTTGCCAGTTCTATATAGTCACCATTTAGACTTACGGGGATAGAAACGGTGGAAGGAGTACAGAGAAGAGCAACGAAAAGATTACCAGGAATGAAGGGCCTTACATACACTGAAAGATCAGCCAAACCGAAAATACCAACACTCGCCTTTCGACGTATTAGAGGGGATATGATTGAGTCATACAAGATCATGAACGGCATATATGACCGGGATATCAATAACATTCTAAAGCCATGGAATAAAAAGATCTTTCCCTAGATAATATAATTATAAATCTGAAATCCACCAATGACGAGATGTTGTAACATATGAACATTATAACGTTTTAATTCAATACTAGTTTGAGTCTGGTGTAGAGGATCAGAAATGAACCTATAACAGAAATAAACTTATCTTATTTGAACTCGGTTTTCATTTTTTTTTTATTAATTGTGCAGATTTTGACAATGGAACCGCTTTGTATTATGTTGTATTATACCGGCGATTCGAATTTGGCGAGGTTGAAATAATCGGGTTTTACTATATAAGGTGTTCTTTTTGTTAGATGTTAAACATAATGTTTAAGATAAAAGATATTTGTTTAAATACTGGTTTCCGCAAAATGGTTTAAAGACAGATCTACTGATTCAGAGAGCAATTTCTAACATTAGGAAGGGCTTTGTTTTCATTGAAAATATTCCCTCAGGAAATGTTCTACATTACAACTGTACATCTGATATTTTTTTCAAATTGGAATACTTATTCATATCTGTTTTAATCTGTTGGAATGTACGCCCTTAAGTATTTCGTGGTTGGTACTTACAGATGTATATGTTTATCATCATCGATGGGTAGATTCCAGCATAAGGACTTCTTCTTATAATTTCAATTATGTAACTCTTTTGTGAATTTAATTGATTTATTTAGATCTAAGGAACCCCATTGGAACTAACTCACAATGTGGCGTTATATCCCAGGTAAAGGCCTAAATTAGTTGCATTCCATCCAGTTTTTAACACTCTGACTGAATACTAGTTCTATGGCATAAATAACTTATAAATAACATCTGTGATAATAGATATCTTTATGTCCAATTTGCAAAATGTGATATACGTGTAATGTCTGCCTTTTACATGAATACATATTATTATTTTCTTGTCTGAGGTTGTCATATGTTTCTCCCTAATCATATCTAGTGCACCATCAATACTCCAGGGGGTTATGCTCATTACATTGTCTGCCCTTCTGGAATATACCAGCGTAATTGAAGACGCGGCAAGCTATTTGATTAGTTTCAGGTAAAAAAAAAAAAAGTCTGACCATACGTGCCATTTGAAGAATACATTCATGAATTATCTCCCTTGACATGCATTATTCATCTCATTTTCTAGCGTTATCATTAATAGACTGCTGAAAGCTACAGTCGAGATAGTAAAGCCCATTATATCACATCATCTCGACACGGACTTAACCTAATCCCATGACCAGTATGACAATAAAAGTGTTTGTGCTATTAAACAGAAGGGGAAAAAGGTTTTAAGCCGGTAGATTTACCAACGACGGATTCATTCTCTTGTCCATATGTATGTCTTCATTTTTAAAAAAAAAAAAAAAATGTTGGGAATCCGGTTTTCTCACTTGTTCGTGGATTTAATTTAAACCAAGGCAGATAATGAGACTGATAATACGACACGAACTATCTAATAAAACCTGTTTAATTAATATGTACTGTAATTTGAGTCGTTTAAATGCCAAAATACCCCATGTGTTTGACACATGTCAATGGAACGTTACAATTAAGTAACAGTAAAAAAACACTGGTACATGCATGTGTAAATGTCGGTTGGGTGAATCTGCTGTCTATTTTTGTCCTTCTTGTGGTACATTTTTTATCTTTGTACTTTTATCAAGAATACTTGAGTAGTGAAAGACCATACACAAAACGAGTACCAATGTTAATGACATTAAAAGCCTCAAATTGGTGATTGTCGTTCTGAAATTGTCTCGCGCGGATAATCATGTTCCACAAGATGGCGTCTTCCAGTAATTCGGCATGCCGGATTTTGCATTGTTTGTGATAATTTAGACACTATTTATGAAGATAAAGTAATTATAAAAACGGCATCCGTGTCTTCAAAACCCCAATATCCAAATTACATCGCTTGGTAAGTGTTTTACACATAGTATAGAAAGTGGTCTACTACTGGAGGGATGCATCTCATTGTGGAAAAAAATACGAAAAGATGAAAACGCCGAAACTTTGGCGAAATACATCAAATGCCATGTAGACCTATGTCAGGACTTACTGCGTTTTTGGAACGTATAAATAAACAGCAGTAGAGTATAGCACAAACAAGTACTAAGCATTTGCCAATCAGAGCAAAATCCTGAAAGCAGTGTGTTTTAGGCAGGAATTGCCACCAATGTTAATTTTAAACTTTAACAGAAAAGTCAGTTTGCAATCGCTTTTTTACTCTTAGATGACAGCTAAGTAACTCCTATCGTCATTCAATGACGCCTATATATGTTACCAGTTTCTGTTCCTCTCTTTTTATAGCAATTGAAGGTACGCTGTGATATCCACTTTAGTCCAGAGGTGAAAATATGTCGTAGACAAATGTTTACTACATTTTTTTGAGATTTGCATCTAACTTTTTTTTTTAAATCAACTACACTAAATGTTTTACATAGGGTATTTTTTTGTGGTTTTCTAAGCTATTAAAAGGCAGTAGTATTCTGTAAAAACACTCTTAAAATAGTGTAGGTTTACAATTTGTTTTGCCATGTTTTCTTCAACGACCTTCCAGAAGTAAACTAAGTGCTTACAACTGATGGTTTCAACAAATTGGTGGTAACCATTGTATGCATGCAGAGAAATGTGCAGAAGGTCATGATCAGGGCACGGAAACACAGGTTAATGCAACAAGCCCAACAATGATACAAGGGAATTATCCATATATGAAATCTTTGAATCTTTAATATTCATGATACATAGGGTCCTTTTTCAAAGCGTCATGAACCTACATCAGTTGTCAACAGTAATCAATGTCTGAATGATAACATGTTTTGTGTATTTTAGAATTAATGACGACTACGAGCGTTTGAGATGTATGCCCTGTACAAACAGATACACCCTCCCACAGGGATCGAACACTGTGTCTACTGTAACTTCTTCAACACGTCGGAAAGAAATCTCGTCATAGCTGCTGTGAACCAGCTCGATGTGTACAGACTGATTCCAGAAGTTGATGTAAGTTTGTCAAATGATTTAAACTCAAAACAAGTTATAGGTCAATTCATGAATGATTGTAAGTTTTTCAAAAGATTGATGATTGATCAGTCGTAAAATTAAAAAAAGGTGAAAGAATTAGTCATCAAAAATAGATACTTTTCAACTTACGAGTAAAGCTGTTTGTTTAATCAGTTTTCAGTTCTGTTCCAAATATGGAGAACTCCTAAAAAGTTTTCATGTATTGTTCAAACCATGATCGATCATAGAAAATCACAATCAATTAGCTATAGTCAAATTAAAATGACTAATCATTAATTAAATCAAATAATTGGAACAACAGTAAGGTCTGAGTATAATTTCAGTTAATGTACTGATGAAATCAGGCGTATATCCACACAGTTGTGGATGAACTTCTCTGATATCAGTATTCTCCCTTTGGCAATTATTAAGTCCACCTAAGTAGTTCCCCTGCATCTTTAATAGACCAAATTGCATATATATGTCAAGTCAACGACAAAAGTTGATAAAATTGATAAATATTATGTATATAACAAGTTTTGACAAGTGTTCAAATTATGCTCCCCCTCCCACCATTTTTTTTTTCAAGTCTGGATTCCAAGAAAAAATCCAAGATTGTGTTGTTAAGGTTTTCTAACTTTATATACTTAATTCTTTATGTATACTAGTGCTGTTCCATTGACTGATTATAACCATAGCTGATTGATTATGCAGCCAATTATAATCAATCATTTATGAAATTCAATAATTATTTAATTTGTTTTCTTTTATTCATGTATATATATTCATCTATCAAAAAAATGTTCAGGCAGTTGTTAAAAGAGAAGTTTAATATATGATAAATTGATTTCTGGTTAGTAAAAGCTCAAAGGGGAAGGTGTATAATTATAAAAAAGGTTGAAAGTATCGTTGTAAAACCTATACAGTTTTAGTGTTAGCATAGCAAATTAAACACTCTCATGTCGAATCATAACTGACCTTCAGTTATGAAGGAACAACTGATTCCCGACACTAACTTAGACAGCAAGTACCAGCTGGTATTCATTTCGTTAGTTTGTAATAATGCTATAGACCTCTACACTTTTATGTTCTTGCATTAAATTTGTAATTAATTCCACATTTCAGGATGTTGAAAGTCCTGACAAATGGACAGGTAAGTAAACTTGGCTTCTTCATTACAAATCCTCTATGTATGTATGTAACAAACACCAGTATCTTGTGCTAGAGTCTGATGTAAACTAGTAAACAACATATACTTGCTCACCTTTTGAAATATCATCAGGGAAATTTCTATTGCTCAAAATTGATATACAAACATATATAAGTTAAAATGTCATCTTTTAAGTTGGTCTTTCCGATAAATCATAAGATCTTTCAGTGGTTGGGAATATTTAGTCAAAGGGTCCAAAATAAGGAACATTCCTTGGGCTAGGGGGCACAACTCTACCTTCCTTGTAATTAAAAAGGTTACTTATAACATGGTTATCAAATGACACTTATCATATCAATAGCATTAGGATAATGTTTCTGATTCAACGCTTTCTTATTTTGCCCAATTTTATAAAGACATCAATGAGGTATGTTTTGGTGAATTTTGTCAATTTGTTTCATCAACTAGAAAAATATTTTGGATTTCTTTTAAGATACATTTATAGTCCCCAGTGTCGCACTGATGATTTTTAACGCTGTATCATTATAGTATTCTACAGTCTAGGTTTCACGATGTATGTTTAATTACTTATCAGCCTCCCCATCATCTCGCCATCTTAACTGGTACCTTTATCTTTCCAGCTTTTCGCTAAAATATATCTCCTCCGCATCCCCCTATCTGTCAAGTCAAAAGTTCAGTATCATGCATGAACTTTTTCAAAACTTTATTCAATCTGGAACCTTCACTCCTGTCATACAGCTCAAATTAGTTCAAACATTGAAAGAAGAAGTTGTTTGTTTATACAGAAAGCAAGAGAAAGCAGAAACTGGAGAGCCTGGCGACGTTCAGTCTGTTCGGAAACATCATGTCAATGCAACATGTCAAACTGCCGGGGGCACATCGAGATGCTCTTCTCCTCAGCTTCATGGACGCAAAGGTAAAATCTGCCAGCCAGAATAACATTAAGGATCTCTGTTCCACTGCAGGCAAAACGCTACATAATTCCGCTGTCGTTTTTCGTATACACATCTTGTAAAGTAATTTAATTTAATTTTGTTTTGGATGTAAATGTAGAGCAGTTGGTTATAATGACATTTCCTTTGACCAGGTAGCTAAACCTGTTAGAGAGACTATATTAATCTGTGGTCCAGGGTTTGAATCCAGGTATAACCCGGCTGAATGTTTTACACTCGGAACACTCTTATTGATCATATGTCTATACAATGTATTTTGTTCAAATTTCATCTTTATTATTTTTTCATAAAAGTCCTGCAAGGTATGGTTTTCTGTTCAGAAATTATTTATGAAAGCTAATGTCATGCTGAAAAAGTAGTTTCCAATGTGTATGAACAGTTTTAGGCAATGGTGTGGGGATCCTTCAAAAATATTAAAAAAATGTGTCCCGAAAAGGCCATCTAAGCTTTATGGATGCCTACACAATAGAACATATAAACACTACTCCAACAATGTTAGAGGTTTAACACGGCGAAAAATTTTGACAGGCGCTGCGTAATGGCAAAATCATATCCGATTGAACAAAGGCCGACCAGCGGCCTCTCATGTTATGGGAGTAATATAAACACTTGCCAGTAGTCTCAATTATAGAAGTGACCTGAGCTGAGACATATGTACCATAAATACAGTCTATAAAAAAATTTGCAATCAAATATTTATTCTAAAATCATTTTGAGGTTAAACTTAAAAGAGAAATGTCTTAGTGATACATGTATCTTGAAAAAAATATTATGTAATTTGTGTACAACGAAGATTTCCAGCACAAAACAAAAAAGTACTGACTTGTTTATATACTGTGAGTTCTCACTCATTATTATATGTGAAACATCAGTCTTTTAGTCATTAAATAAAGGAGTAATGAGCAGGCAAAGTATAAAAAAAAACTACCCATGGCTAATTGTTTTTTGAAAGGGGATTTTGAAATGGACAAATGTGCCTGGTATTTTCTGATGAAAACAATTTTTCTTCATCTGAGTTGTATTATAAAACATAAAGATTGTGTGTTTAAATTGTTTCCAGCTGTCAGTGGTGGAGTATGACCCAGGAACACACGACCTCCAGACGACCTCTCTCCACTACTTTGAGGAATCTGTCATGAAGGTAGGTTGTTAATTTTAATGGTTATCTCCCTTCTTTCACTGTTTATGTAGTGACTCACAAAGTGCAGACTTGGTTTAGAATGATTGTTTTAAAGTTTGTGATAATATACAGATTTGCTGACTTTTTTGTCTTGTCATTAAAACTTACTTCAAACTAATTATAATTTGACAGAATATCAGGTATGTTTTCGGTAATTAATATTGATAGACTTAACATGTCTGTTTTTCTTTATTGTATCGTTACATTTTTTCTGACCATTAAATGTTATTTATACAAGTTTTCTCTAATGTTTTTTTAATATCTTGAACAATTTTGATCATTGTAAAATAGTTAATTACCTATCGACAACCAGCACTTCGATATATACTTGTAGGATGGTTTCTCTACAAATTATGATATTCCGACAATTCGAGTGGACCCTGACGGTCGATGTGCAGCCATGTTGATCTATGGGAACCGCCTGGTAATTCTGCCGTTCAGAAGAGATGCCTTGATGGAGGAGACTGACAATGTGGTTGGTGCAAGGTAAACTATATAAATAAGTAGTATTATGTCACCCTGGTAAAATACTAGCTTCTTCCTACCAAGTTGACTAGAGAGATTTTTTCATTTTTTACTTGATAGTGTGTCTGACTAGTAAACCAGAGGTCCTTGATTCAAACCACAGTGGAGCCATTTAAAAGAAGGACCTCTGTGATCATGACGTGCATAATATAGAATATACAGATTTTATAAAGTTTGCCACTGGAAACATTTTCACACAGCAATCAGTTAAAAAAAAGTTAAAAAACAAACATTTGTACTCGCAAAAATTTCCACTTTTATGGTTCATTCTTTTATCTCTGTTATTTTGATGTCCAGCTGTTACATTTTAAGGGAACAAGATTCTGCCTTTGTTTTTTAGCAAATCCCCCATCATGTCCTCGTATATAATTGACCTGCGACAGTTTGATGAGAAGATCCCCAATGTGAAGGACTTCCAGTTCCTACATGGTTACTATGAACCTACTGTCTTCATCTTGTATGAACCGCTACAGACTTGGGCTGGGTAAGTAACTACTGTGTACCAGTATTGTACTAGTTGGTATTATTTCTGAACTTATTTCTGCAAAGTCAGGCTCATATGAAAGCCAGGAAAATTCCCTTTCCAATGATACCAAGTTTACAAGATTACTCATCAAATGGTTTTGTATGCGTTTATATATATATGCGTCACCCTGGTATAATACTAGCCACTTCCTACCGACACGGCTAGGGAGAATTTCTCTTTGGATCATTGTGTAGAGCATTAGACTAGTAACCAGAGGGCCCAGGTTCGACTCCTAGTGGAGACACTGAAAAAAATAATATTCTCTGTTACATTGGCACCAACATAAGGACCCGGGAATAGGGACAAAAATACTCTGTGATACTTTTACAAGAATCTCTATGACCCCTGGAAAACTCGGGACAATTTCTTTCCTTCAGGGGGAGTATGTCACCCTGGTAAAACGCTTGCCAATTCCTACCATCTTGGCTGCATGTCTATTGATTCCCATGCATATGCACAAATTTAGGGAATATGTAATTAGTTTTTGAAAAAGAAAAAAATGAATGTTTTCGGAGACTGGTTCTCCTGCAGGCAAGTGCTTAGTATGAAGCTACAGTCAAACCTGTAAATGTAACCACACTTATTAAGATATCACCTGTATTAAGAGACCATCTCCATTAAGATACCAACTGTGTTAAGAGACCATCTGCATTAAGATACCAACTGTGTTAAGAGGCCACTTATAATGGTCCTGATTGTTGTGAGTTTTGTCTCGCCGCCACGAAGTAGCAGAGGCGTGACTAAGGTGTTGCTTTTCCGGCGATGGCGTCAGCATTAAGTTTCTGCGTTTAAGTTAGTTTCATTAACAGTATAACTGCTAGACCAACCAAACTTGGACCATAGATGCATCTTAGCTAGTACCTATCAACCAATGCATCAAAGGCTGGATGCGGTCTATTGACTTAGTCAGCATCTCCATCAACATTAAGTTTTTGTGTTTAAGTTAGTTTCTCTGATATGTGCATTGATGGTCAAAGCGGGGCACAGGCGAGACATATCAATCTGAATGGCTTGTTGTGAGTAGACCATCTGCATTAAGAGATCCTTTCTTGACTTTCCGCTGGTGGTCTCTTTATATAGGTACAACTGTATAAGTACTTTTAAGTTGGCGATTCATGATCATTATACTTCAATATTTTCAATTTCAACACATTTTATTGACAAACAGAAGTCACCAGGATTAGACATCAGGCGTTGCCTATATAAGTCCCTCCCCTACAACAACATCCTCTGGTGAACATAGTGTTTACATATTTAAGATATTTACATTTTAGACAAATAAAAGGGAAGTAACTCCTCCAAATAAGATTGTTTAATAGTGATGTGTGAAGATATTTTCATTGGGTTGTAGACGTACCGCAGTGCGAGCCGACAGCTGTAGCATCGTGGCCATCTCACTTAACATACAGGAACGAGTCCATCCCATCATCTGGTCACTGGCCAGTCTTCCCTTCGACTGTCATCATGTAATGCCTGTGCCGAGGCCCATCGGAGGGGTGATGGTGTTAGCTGTCAACTCCCTGTTGTATCTTAACCAGAGCGTGCCTCCCTACGGGGTGGCCCTCAACAGTATCGCTCACGCCAGTACAGCATTCCCTCTAAGTATGTTTAATTCAAACTTTTGGTTTTATTTTGTTTAACGTCCTATCAAAAGTTAAGGTCATTTTAGGAAGTGTAATTAAAAGGTCTGCATGCTCACGAAATATTAAGTATATACTGTTGTAGGACTATTTATTGCAATTTGAACTCCTGAAAATCAGAAATTATTAGTGAAATAAAAACTTACATCCTCAAGCAGACATGGTATACAAATTGCTATATCAAAAGTCAAAATTGGATTTTTTTTCTTTGCTTCATCTCAAAACCATGGATTTTTTGTTCAGTTACAAATAAAGCAAAGGTAGAAAAAATGATTGTTTTTGTACATCTTTGGCACGTACACTAAGTTATTAAACATAAATACGTAATTGATAACATTTTTGTAAGCAAATTGTTCCAGAAAACAGCAGAAATCGCATGGTGTACATAGTCCATTCAAAAGGATGCACTGCCTTGTTGTCAAGGGTGATAACATTACATAACTATTAATTTCTGGTGCTGCAATTTTTTCGTTGTTTTACGTTAAAAAATGTAAAAATGGAAAATTTAATGGTTTTCCAATTGAATACCATGAATATTTCTCTTGTTTTGCAGAATATAACAATAGTGTAATTGGCTGTTGTATTTATTTAAACACTTTCTTGAATTTGAACAACAAAAATGTTGCATTTGTATTTACCAGACACATTAAATGATTGTCAAATTTAATGAAAGATTTTCAAGCATAAAATCCTATTATCCTGAATTGCAAAAAAACACAATTTACTGTAATATAATGCTTGAAATTGGATATGTTTCTATGGAGCACTTGTGTGTTGACAGGATCACAGGAGGGAGTAAGGATCACACTGGACTGTGCTGAAGCTGCATTCATGTCTTACGATCGACTCATCCTGTCTCTTAAAGGAGGCGAACTGTAAGTCCTATGTCTGATTCATCTTCACAAAAGAGTGATTTATAAGTTCCATGTTTGATCAATCTTTCCTCTTGAGTGAGACAAACTGAGTTCAACTATTTCCTTATCCTCTCCCTCAATGAGGTGATTGTAAGTTGTTAAGTTGATTTTGTTCTTCAGATAACAGTTGATGACATGGTAAACCTGTCTTTAAAAAATGGTTTTAACTTCTTTGTTTGTATCTATATGTATTATCAGTGTTTGATTTCGGTTGGAACAGATATGTCCTGACATTGGTCGTGGATGGGATGAGAAGTGTGAGGAGTTTTCACTTTGATAAAGCTGCTGCCAGTGTCCTTACCACCTGTGTAAGTCCGAGAATAATCAGACATTTCGTAATGTTGCGTAATTTGTTTAAGTGAACATTTCCTGTGTGTTGAGGAATACTGTGAAAACTTCTAAATTGAAGCTACCAAAGATCCCCATACCACTGCAGAAAACAGTAACTAAGTATGTTTAACTGGGTTTTTTCAGCATTACTATAGCTTTGATAAGTCATTGTAGAAAAGAAAACCATACATTTCCGGACTTTAATGAAAAATGATAAAGATGAAATAAACAAAGTGTAATTAGCAACAGTGTTCTGAGTGTAAAAAGGACACTGCGGGTCCAGACCCGGATTTGAACCCTGAACTTCAGACTGCTTAACTATCTCTCTAACGGATAGAGATACCTTGTCTATAGAAGTTTCCTGGCCCAATTGTTCTATAGTCATATCCAAATGGAAGGTAAGGGGAGATAACTCCATATAGGAACAACCACAGGATCCTTAACTTGCATTAGGGAAAATGTTACTTTATATTTCCATTACAGTGAATAACAATACTTTTTTCCTTATTTCACTTATTAAATGAAAATCTTACTGAACTCATTCGCCCCTGAAATTTCATAATGAAGTATTCCAACCTTTGAATTAGAAGAGTTTAAATGAGTCTTCAGGGGTGAATGAGTTCAACCATTTTCCTAGTTGCAGTTCCTCGGTGATTATCTCATGTTGATGAATATAAATAAGTATTGACAATCTAACACATGTTTATAACAGAAACATAATTTGCGACTGAAATCAAACTGCTGAGTTCAGATAAGATTCCATTTAATGAATTCAATACAAAACTCTACATTGAATTTGACTGAGAATTCATTAAAATTGAATAAGGCTGAATAAGAAAATGTTGTTCTTTCCATACCCTACCTACCCTTTTTTTTGTGCCTACCCTAAACTCTTTTGTCAATTTTCAAGGAGGCACTGTGAAAGTCAAGTTTACTCTACTCTCCTTTATAAACCTTATAAAAAAACCTAAAATGGAACTTTTTAGCTACGTACCCCTAGAAAAATGTAACAGGAAACAAACTGTATTTAGTATGGCCTAAATTTGAATTTATTATTAAATTAAATACAAAACAGATGTGTGTATTGGACGATGGCTACCTGTTACTCGGCTCCCGTCTTGGAAACTCCCTGCTACTGCGATACACGGAGAAGGTGGCTGACTTGGAGCTGGCTGACGGAGATAGCAAGGTAATACTATTGAGCTTTATTCTATAAGGTGTGTCTACAGGGGAAGCCTCACCAATGTAGGAGTGCTTGTAATTTAAACAGTTTATTATTTATTCTAAGTCATTTATTTTCTTCTTTAGTGATGCTTCTGGGTGTTATTATCAGTAAAAAGTGTTATTTTCAATGTTTTTCTGGTAAATTAAATGGTTTGAATTAACCATTTTTAGCTTTATCCCTTTCAACCCTATGTAACTTCAGTAGACTCTGCCATGCATTGATATGGATGAGTCCATTATGGTCTACAGTGGTGAAAGGGTTAAGTAAGATTGCTATCGTCCTAAGATTGACTTGCAGAAAATTTATTTTTAGGAGAATTTGATAAATAAATACTGTCTGGATAGAAAACTGATAGACAATATTTAAAAAACAAATTGGAACTATGAACAATGACTGATTTTGGTAGTTCTAATATTAAATTGTTTTATCCCTTACTTTTTCTCCAGACTGAGCTTCCAACCAAGAAGAAGAAGACAGACGGGACAACAGACATGGGTATGTATGTCAGAGACAGATCCCAAAATACAGCACATAATATTCTGTGTCACCAAATCTAAAAATATAACATGAGGGATCCCTTTTCACCCCGAAATGCTGAGAAAGTCCAAAATCCTTTGTGAATTTTTCTTTGTTGGCGATAGGCAATGAGTTATGTCCCTGGGCCGGATCATACAAAAGTCCTTAAAAATGGTAGTTTTCATTTAATGCATAATGTTCAGCATTCAGGGTAATGGCAACAACTGGTTTACCCGTTGTCAGTATAATGTGAACGGGCGAAATGCTGTGCTCGGTGCGGTGCCTTCGGCATGGTATTTCAGTGAGATAGCACTATAAAGTTGGCATCAGATCCGCACTTATACAAGAAGGCAAGTACACCAACATACCATGCAGCACACATAGACACATGTACGCATACACAATATATATTGTTTCCATACTATTCTTCAGGTCTTCACATAGCATTTAATTATGTGCCTTGTACATCATCAAATATCCAATTGATATTTTGGAGAAAAATTCTGTTGGCATTTTGACTGATTCTTTATTGACTTCAAAACTGAAGAGTTAACAATTTGAAATGTATGTTTCTTTTAATATGACGTGATTTATTTTGTGAAATACTTTTACCATTGATTCATGTTTGGCCAGCCTCAGATGTGACACAGATTGAGAACCTGTATGACCTTGAAGTATACGGCAGCGCAGAGAACCCCGCCGGTACTATGATCACTAGTTACTCATTTGAGGTAAAATAAAATTTGATAACTTACTAAAATTTGAGTGTGGTAAAATAAGTAAATTTACAATATCCTGAAATAACACACTTTGTTTTTCTGAATGGTCATTTCATGTAGCATTATTAAAACAAATTAGCATATGACGGGTTAATTTTTCAAGGTTTTTACCCAAAATTAGATGTAGAAGATATCTCCAGTGGACTTTTGTAAAAAAAATGCAAATTTTCACAAATACTTTTCAATCATTACAACCACTGTCTCGCCGTAATGGTTATTTTCATTTTATGCATTTTCGCGACCATATTGATGACCAGCGAAATCGCGAAAATTTTGTTCCCTTGAAATCGTTCTGCTATCAATAATTCCAAGTTTTACAATATAAACTTAAAAAAGATAACAAAAACTGAAATTAAAAAATAAATGTTATCAATCAGACTTATTAAGAAAAATAACAATTAGCATTTGAAATTATACCAGTTTACCAGTAGGTAAGTAATTTTAGATCACTTAAGACAGAGCAAATTAAATACATTCTCTGATTTGCATTTTTAAAAGGACTATTGCCCAATATGTAATCGTAATTGTTGCTTCTCAAATTGGGTTCGAGACTTGCAATCACAGAATGGAGAAACAGATAAACAAAACAATTAACCTGTTATTTAAGGTGTGTGACAACATCTGGAACATTGCTCCCTGTGGACAGATCGTCATGGGAGAACCAGCCTTCTTGTCTGAAGAGTTCGCAGGCAATCCTGACCCTGACCTTGAACTTGTGACCACATCTGGATATGGAAAAAATGGAGCCTTGTCCGTTCTACAGGTATGAAGTCAAGAGAAAAGTCGCAACATCTTATGAAACATTGTTAGATTTTATTTTAATTAGTAGTTCAAGGTTTTGAAATTCATAAGTAGTTTCTGAATAGTTTTGAAATATTGATAAACTATAAAATACAAAATTTGCTAGGTTCTATGGAAGTGATTTATATTGAATAAACATAAAACCCAATTGGAAAATGAAGTAGCGTGAAAGACATTTTGGCTTGTCATTGTATATAATATCTACAGCGGAGCATCAGACCCCAAGTGGTGACGACTTTTGAGCTGCCAGGCTGTGTTAACATGTGGACAGTGAAAGGAACCCTCCCAAATGACACACCACCGAAGGTAAGCTAGGGACAGACTATCATGGCTGTGATGCCTAGATTTTGTGTTATTAACTTACCAATATATTATGGTTTTGAATATTTCCAAAATATTAAAAGTCATATACTTCAGAGTAAGATCTAAATTATTCGATGTCGAACCTCCAGCAGAGTCTTGGGTTTCCCTTATTTAATGCTACTAATATTGTTTTGATGAATGAAAGTATTTTGAGTTAAATTTCATGCTGTTTCCAAGTATAATCTTAGCCAGTTTGTTAGGAAAACATTGAAATACTGGCCAAATATGGATTTTACCGGCAAAGGGCAAAAGTTTCACTGGGCAAAAATGTCCATTTTTACAGTATTCTTAAGAATACACGATATTTAAGTCATAATCACTCGTTTTACAGACTCCAGCAGCTGAAGAGAAGACAGAGGAAAAGGAGGACGATGCAAAGGAAGAGAAGGAGGAGATAGAGGATGGCCATGCCTTTCTCATCCTCAGTCGGGCAGACTCCAGTATGGTAAGGATATGGTCTTAAAGAATTGCCCACAATTAAAATTTGAATTCAAGTTGATCATAGATTTTATGTAGGAGGTTACAGATGAAAATGCATTTTCGTTTAGGGATTGATTCACCTGCATTTCTATCAATAATTCTTCAGTCTTTACCCAGTAATGTTAAATATTTCACATATTAGTGCATAAATAACTATCTTATATTCACTGAATATATTTATGCATCTAAGATTTCTGTTTCCTGTACATTATGGTACATAGTCAAATACTCGTCTGATCTGTGATGTAGGCTAATTTTGTAAAGGTGTGAAGGTTTCACACAAACGACCAGGCCCATGGATTTGTTTTTCTGTTTTAAAGATCCTTCAGACAGGTCAGGAGATCATGGAGCTTGACCATAGCGGTTTTAGTACACAGACAGCCACGATCTTTGCCGGCAACATTGGAAATGACAAGTACATCATCCAGGTGTCATCTACAGGGGTCAGACTGTTGGAGGGAGGTCAGTCTTAGAAAAACATTTAAAAAAAAAAAATAATGGTTTCCAATTGAATACCAACCATCTTTTTTGACAGGCAAAATACTTGGCCAGATGACAATTGAGCTTATCCTTTGGTGCAATGTCTGTTCTTTATTTTTCATCCATCCATTGTCAAATTTTCATTAAAAACACTACTAGTCTAGTAATGCTGAATGTCATCTGACTTAATTTGGAATAAGCTTCGCTGTATCTTCAATTTTGGTTGACTGCAGACTCCATAAAGTTTGAAATTTCTCTCTTAAATACTCTTAGTGGTATGCTTGTATTATTAGTTTCCTACCAGTACAACAGAACCTGATTAGATATTTTACTCCATCTGTCATTCAGTTAGTCATTCCATCAGTCAGATTGTCCGTCAGTGCCTCAGTTTGTCTGGAATATATAGACTCTGCCAGCTACAGTTTCCATTTTGATGCGAGTACCTTGTACTGGATGGCGAAGTAATACATACTGAAATTGATCCTCATGTTCCATTATATACAGAGTTATTGCCCTTTGTTCACTTTTTTCTCATGACATATTCTAAGGGTGTAGAAAAGAAATTCTTGGATTTCAAAGATGGATTGACTTGAGGAGCTGCATCCTTTCCAATGTGCTGGTCTAACATCCAACATGATCCTTTGAAGGGATTTGAACACTGACCATGCTCTTAACAGGTCACATAAAACAGGGATGCTTTTCAATGGATTCATGTTAAAAATCGACAACTAAATCAGACCCAGCTCCGGATCCTGTGTCGCTTCATGCATAATGACATCAGCAAGTTAAAGAGCAGTCCCTAAACAAATGTGAACTAACTTTTTGAATGAGAAAGAAAAAATAGTACCTTTTGCATGTAATAGTAAATATATATGTAATTGAACAGATCAATATTTTTCAGTGTAAAACCTATCTCACCCCGGTGTCACCTTTTTGTATATTTGTGTTTTACAGTAAAACAGATCCAACACATCCCTGTGGACATCGGCTCACCACTTGTCCACTGCTCGCTGGCTGATCCATACGTACTACTAATGGCAAGTTCAGGTCAAATTGCCATGCTCACCATGAAAGAGGATGTGAATGGTGCTCGCCTTGTCACCACTCGGCCCTCAGTATCACAGGTATGCTGTACAGTAGCCTTCAAATGTTTTTGTCAGTACAAATGTATTAGGTATATGGAAAGAAATCTTTATCTGTTTGATTTTAGGCCACCACAACCTACATTATTGTAAAATCCATATCAACTGAACATCAAATAACAGAAATTTTCCTCATCATTCAAATGTTAAAATTCACAGGAAAAAACTGCATGATTTAGAGATTGAAATTTGTTGTCTGAAAGCAAGAAAAAAAATACATTGGTTGTATAAAATGGAAATCTGAAAATTGAATGTGAAAAGGTTAAACAATGACCTAATTAGATGTTTATAGTAGCTATAGGGGTAAATAATGGTAATCAAGAATGAATTGGGTATACCTTTATTTATATTGATGCAGCACTCCCGACTCCTGACCCTGTGTTTGTACAAAGATCTTAGTGGAATGTTCACAACCAAGGCGACACAGCTTGGTGACGAGGAGGAGACAACTACCAACTCCAAAGAGACGAAACCCTCCACAGAGAGAGCATTCACGCTGGATACAGAGTAAGGATAGGCATTAATAATGTCAAGGTCACATTCTGCTAGCAGGGTCAAGGTCACGATTGACAAGGTAGTAATGTGGGCTAGGTCACACCTGTCTACACAAGTGGGTCAAACTAAAAAAGAGATCATAAATGAATTTCATAGATCATGGGAGGAAGGCAGGAAGGTCAAGGTCATACACATTTAGTAAAGTGAGGTTAGAATGTTACAGAGTCAAGGTCACTGACAATAGGCCGGGCAACAGGATCAGGGTCACAAACCCTGTGGTAGAGAAAGAGATGAAGGAAACAGATTCAAGATCATGATTTGATTGAGACAGAAACAGACAGGCAATAGGGTCACAGCCACAAATACATGCTCGAGAAGAAAAACTTAGAAGTTAAAAACATCTCAAAGGACAGGAAAAATAAGTTCACCATATTCTGACCTATTCAGTGACTATGTATGATAAGCTTGTAGTTAAGAATTTTAATTAAGTTGTTTTTTGTCTTTTTTAGAAATATTGATGACGAAGATGAACTTTTATATGGAGAGACCGACACTTCAGTGTTCACATCGTCATTTGATATCAGCATGCGGTCCGAGTCAGAGGGGTAAGTATGTGTAATTTACAATACATTTGATATCAGCATGCGGTCCGAGTCAGAGGGGTAAGTATGTGTAATTTATGTTTCATTTGATATCAGCATGCGGTCCGAGTCAGAGGGGTAAGTATGTGTAATTTACGTTACATTTGATATCAGCATGCGCTCTGAGTCAGAGGGGTAAGTATGTGTAATTTACGTTACAATTGATATCAGCATGCGCTCCGAGTCAGAGGGGTAAGTATGTGTAATTAACGTTACATTTGATATCAGCATGCGCTCTGAGTCAGAGGGGTAAGTATGTGTAATTTACGTTACATTTGATATCAGCATGCGCTCTGAGTCAGAGGGGTAAGTATGTGTAATTTACGTTACATTTTATATCAGCATGCGCTCCGAGTCAGAGGGGTAAGTATGTGTAATTAATGTTACATTTGATATCATCATGCGCTCTTAGTCAGAGGGGTAAGTATGTGTAATTTACGTTACATTTGATATCAGCATGCGCTCCGAGTCAGGGGTAAGTTTGTGTAATTTACGTTACATTTGATATCAGCATCACTCCGAGTCAGAGGGGTAAGTATGTGTAATTTACGTTACATTTGATATCAGCATGCGCTCCGAGTCAGAGGGGTAAGTATGTGTTATATACGTTACATTTGATATCAGCATGCGCTCCGAGTCAGAGGGGTAAGTATGTGTAATTTACGTTTCATTTGATGGAAATATTTACAAAATAAGTATAGAAGTTTTCAAGATTTTTGAAAGATATATGGACTTGGAGAATGGCCTTGTTTTACGACTGTTTTTTTGTGTAGGGAAGTTTTCATGTAATTGACTAAACTAGTTAACAATTTTACTGATGTATATAGTATATATTTGTGTCTGTATAGATAGATATGTGTATATTTTTACTGATGTATATAGTATATATTTGTGTCTGTACATATAGATAGATGTATATTTTTACTGATGTATATAGTATATATTTGTGTCTGTATATATAGATATGTGTATATTGTTACTGATGTATATAGTATATATTTGTGTCTGTATATATAGATATATGTATATTTTTACTGATGTATATAGTATATATTTGTGTCTGTATAAATTGATATATGTATATTTTTACTGATGTATATAGTATATATTTGTGTCTGTGTATATAGATATATGTATATTTTTACTGTTGTATATAGTATATATTTGTGTCTGTATATATAGATATATGTATATTTTTACTGATGTATATAGTATATATTTGTGTCTGTATATATAGATATGTGTATTTTGTTACTGATGTATATAGTATATATTTGTGTCCGTATATATAGATATATGTATATTTTTACTGTTATATCTATATTATATATTTGTGTCTGTATATATAGATATGTGTATATTTTTACTGTTGTATATATATTATATATTTGTGTCTGTATATATCGATATGTGTATATTTTTACTGATGTATATATATTATATATTTGTGTCTGTATATATTGATATGTGTATATTGTTACTGATGTATATAGTATATATTTGTGTCTGTGTATATAGATATATGTATATTTTTACTGATGTATATAGTATATATTTGTGTCTGTGTATATAGATATATGTATATTTTTACTGTTGTATATAGTATATATTTGTGTCTGTATATATAGATATATGTATATTTTTACTGTTGTAACACAATAAGCTGAACATCACATTTATTAGGGGCCTATTTTGTTACACTGATGAAAGTAGATATCAAGCTTTTGTATTGGATTTTGTCTCTAAGGGCAAGCAAAGTTAATTATCAGATATATTCATCATGAATGCATATTTTTAAATTACTACATTAATTCTGATGAAAGCATGGAAATTGATAAGAATTTGATAGAAAAACCAAAATCAATTAAATAATGTGTTCAAAGGCCAAAGAGGGAGACCAAGAGCTGTCACCTCAACCCCACCTACTGGGCACTCATGTGTCGAGAAAACGGTGTGCTGGAGGTAAGTTATCATAATCATTTAATTTCCTGGTTAAATTTGTCCATGGAAAGGTTTAGTTACCTGTCTTGAGATGTTCAGTGAGGTCTTGTTGCGTCAGCTGTGAAGCAATGGTGACCTACTTATAGGGATCACAGTAGACCTGTCTGCTTCCACACAAATATTTTCTGTGCGATAAATGTAGGGGGAAAGCTTTGGTTGCCATGAAACTTTCTATGCGTAGCTATGATATCAATCACCTTCTCAAGCTTGGTTTTTAACAAAGTCTGAAAATATTCATGGCCAGCAGTGTCACTCTTAAGTTTTGTAAAAACTTTACATGATTCCTGTGTGATATCCTTGAGGGAATCTTTGATGTTCATGAAACGTTGTACACGTGTCTATACTATTAATTATCCAATAAAGGTTGATTTTGACCTAAATCTGAAAATCAACATGGCTGCCAGGAGGGGCAGAAAACACATCCTCTTCCATATAAAACTCTTGTTTTTAATATCAGGAAGGAGGTGGTTTCTGCATAGGGTTTCCTTGAAGATATTTCTAACAATAGAGGACTTTTTCAGGAAGAAAGTGCCACAAAGAGGAAATCATTAAAAGTTACAGATTAGTTTAATGTATAGTATGTAGCTTTCGTAGTATCAAAAGTGTCAGAAACCTTCTTCTCAAGAACTGTAATGCTTGAAGACATAATATTTGCATTTTGGTGAAATAGTATTGATTTGATTGAGATAAATGACCTTGACCTACACATGTTCATCTGAGGTCACATGAATCAAATTTGTCAAATCTTTCAATGACATTTCTGACCAACCATGTGGCAATCAATTTGGGTCAAATTAATAATATTGAATCACATTCAAGGTCTCTAGAGATTAAGCGTGTTTAAGTCTTTAATAAGTCTGAATCTTGAGAGTTAAATGTAGCATCTATTCGGTTAATAAGATATGGCCTATACTGTGTTGGGGTGAAATGCTGTGAAAAGTTTGATATTCAGAAAAATTGCAATCAAGAGGATTTTTTTTATCGAAATGAGGTGAACATGGAATTTCTGTTACAGGTCTATAGTGTTCCAGACTTTAAGATGAGCTACTATGTCAAGAATTTTCCAATGGGTCAAAAGATCTTAGTGGACAGTGTCCAGATGACTGACAAAGTCAGGTAAGCACTGATACTGGTCAGTTGGTCACTTTTCATGTGTATTTGAACCCATTCACCCCTGTAGTCACATTTGAACCTGACAAATCAAAGACTGGTCATGTCCAGTTTAAAAATGTAGGGGTGAATGAGTTAATATGAATGTAAGGGAAAGGAGGCTTTTGAGATAATGGAGCTCTTTTCATCACTCAGCTCTGAAAGTGTCAGTGTTATTATTATATAACATCAGGGGCCGTATTCACAAAACCGTTCTCATGCTCAAACTCAGGTTCTGTACATAGATACATAGATTATATTCTGACAAAAGTAGGATTTTACAACCCTTTGACAATAAGCTCTGAAATAAAAAAATATATATTTTAAAAGTTGTGACATTTAGAATTCAATGTTTTCTTTAAAACTATGTTTCTGCACTTAGTATTGCCAGTGTTCATCAAATTTGTATACAAATTGTTTAACTGTGTTTATATTTACAACATTAGATTGAAGATCTAGACTGTTTCATAAATCAACAGTTCCGTGTTTAAAACATTATTTTGTCCATGATTTGAAGAATTGTGGAAAGACTTCAAGCCAGAAACCATTTTCATTACCAACACTGACTTTTTGACCATGCCACATTGAGTGCCTATGTGAGTGACAAGAAAGATGGTTTAAGCACAAGAATTGTTTTGTAAATTCAGGCCCTGATCTTTATATTGGATCAAATAAATCACACAAAATACTATACTTTCCTCCTATGATTGTGTTTTGTTTATTGATGTATAAGCTGTTGATTAATTACAGTGCATCAAGTTTGCCTCGGGTGAATACAATTAAATTTGGGGAAACAAATATTCATATTCCCCTCTTACAAGGTCAATAGATGTATATAACAACTTGTCTCTACAGCACCAGTGGTATGGGGGGCGAGCGCCAAGAGAAAATCATGGGAGATATGCCGACCATTAAGGAACTGTTGATGGTGGGCCTCGGATACCGCAACTCCCGATCCTTCCTTTTTGTAAGTCAATTATTAAGTTCTTGTTTTCATTTGTTTATCCTTCGTTATTCAGTGTTGCCACTGAATTTTAGATTTGGGGGTATATTTATATATTTTCAAGATTATGTATCCCCATGTACCTAATTACCTAGAGCAATTGTTGAAAACTGGGGGTACAATCAACTTTTTTGGGGGTGAAAAACCCTCATTTGGGTTATTACCTATAAAAAGATATTACAAAACAAATTGACAATTTTGTTATTATGAGGTCCCCTGAGCAAAGATCGGTTCTATTTGTTTTCCTTCTTCTTGCTAATTACTCACTGTCATCATAGATTTGCCCTTTTTACAGAAGGCAAAAATAAACTAAAGTTTGTCCAAATTGGAATCCTCAATAAATTCAGCAGGACCACATTATGCTAGGATCAATTTCATCCAAGACAATAATATAGTTTTAACTCATTTACCCCTGGAGACACATTTGAAATCTTCCAATTCAAAGGTTGGAATAGTTCATTATGAAATTTCAGTGTTGAATGAGATAAAAAGAAAAATGAATACGCTATGTACAGCTATATGTCTGTTGTTTTGCAGGCGAGAGTGGATGATGAGTTTTACATATACGAAGCATTTCCGTTTTACCAAACACCCGTTAAAAGTCACCTGAAGCTGCGGTTCAAGAAGGTCCAGCACAATGTGATCCTAAGGGAACGGAGAACTGGAAAGTACAAGCGTAAGATGGATTCTGAAGACGGAGAGGAATCTCAACAAACTAATGACACTACCATGCTTCATTACTTCAGTGATCTGGCGGGCTACAATGGGGTACGTAGAGATACTGTACATGTAGAAATTCTCCCTTTTGAAATGTTTGCATTGCGACTCTCTTAACTGCTCTGATTGGGTGGTTGGGTGATGCAGTCGATAACACACTCACCTTTCACTAAGGTAGCCGGGTTTGGATTCCCCGATTAGACGTGAACAGGGTCACATGGGTCTTTCTCTGGGTACTCCAGTTTGCTCTCAAATTAAGACCCCCTGAACGCTACTATTCAGGCTAACATCAGTAATTAAAATAAATTGAAATAACTTGTTTCATAATTGTCATTAAAGTCAATAGTTTTTTAACTGATCGTTGTGTGGAGAAATTTTTCACAAATAAAATTGTTCTAAAATCTATATAAATATTATTTACATCGGTCTATAGTCTATATTAACATGAGCAACTCAAGAATTTCCACTTCTCCAGTATATCAATGACCTGTCAATTAGACTAGAATAGGGTTTGAGAAATAATATGTAAGTGATCATGCTTGGTTTGAATAGGATTGGTAGAGATATATTGGTGAAGTGATAGCTAAGGTGTGATATGTTTTGTGACTGGAATAGAATGCATGAAGATTAATAGAATCTTCCCCTACCTTGAGGGTGTGACAGAGAAATCTCCAACCCGAGGGGCTGCCGAGGGTTAGACAACCAAACAAATCACCCCGAGGGTTGGAGATTTCTCTGTTACCCCCTCAAGGTAGGGGATGATTATTTTTCTCCCATCCTATTATTTCAGTCACAACTCCACCGACAGTAGTCTGCCATGTTTATAAACAAAAACACATGCGGGGTATGCATATCGTCATTCACTTTTGATGACGTCACAATTACCGATGACACTTTTTAATGACATCACAATTGAACGCGTGTTTATCGGCACGAGGCTATCTCCCCCTAGGGGGTGACAAGCTGATCTTTCCCGGCTAAAACGGGAGACACACCTGTGAAGGGTGGGAGAAAAAGCAGTGAATCAGCGACTACAATGGGATGTGTAGGGCAGGCCTAAATGGGATGCATTGAAATATGTCACTGACCAGGCTGCAGTTTGAATCCAAATTGAAATGGTTTTTATTTTACTTCATATTTTCTGCTTGTTGCACTCTCCTGTCCCCCAACCAAGGCCCTGCTCTGGACCCACTCTTAAATGAATCCACTCCGAGCAAGGGCTCACTACGCCCCTGCACATACGTGTAATGTTACCTCAGCAGGATTACAATACTTGTTTCTGTTGTAGGTGTTTATCTGTGGTGCCTACCCTCATTGGATATTCATGACGACCCGAGGATGCCTCCGTATTCATCCAATGGGCATTGATGGCAGGGTCACTTGTTTTTCACCCTTCCACAATGTTAACTGTCCGAAGGGCTTTCTCTATTTCAACGGGCTGGTAAGTACATCTTTTTCATAGAAAATCTCTTCCATTATTTATAACCTCTTGACATTCTCTGAAATTTTCATCGGAGCAATGCTGTGAACAATACATATGTATACTGGACATTTTTGCTGCAGTCAAGTTTACGCCTTTTGATTTTTTTTCAGTATACAGTATCTTACTACGTGATATAACATGTGTGTGCTGAAAATTCTGCTTGCTTTCTTGAGTTCTGAAGTATTTTCAACAGTCAAAACAGTTTTTACAGATATGAAAATGCATTGATAAAAAATATTTCTATCTTAGGCCAGATAAAATGAACATAAAAATATTTTCTGGTTACCCTACCTACCCTAATTTGTATGCCTACCCTTAACTTTTTGGGGCAATTTTCAAGGAAATACTATTAAAGTTTAGATCTTCTGTATAAACCTTATTAAAAAAATAAAATGTATTACCTACCCATCCTTATTTTCTCATTTATGTAACAGAAAACAAACACGTTTTTTCATTTGGCCTAATTAGACTTTTGTGAACACATTTTTCTTTCAGAAATGTCAGCTTTACTTATTTGAATGTATTGAAATTATTGAATTGTTTATGTTTGTAAAAGTAGCTTTATAAAACTGGTTTCTGTTTTGGTTGAAAGGGAGAACTAAGAATAAGTGTTCTGCCCACACACTTAACGTATGATGCACCATGGCCTGTGAGGAAAGTACCGCTACGCTGTACGCCACATTTTATAGCCTACCATCCTGAAAGCAAGGTGAGGTATCTTCCTGATCAATTGATTGCTATAAATATGGTTCTCCGGTACCATAGATGTACATATTATATAGTATGGGCCACACTTGATTTGTCCGTGCTTGAGCGGTATAAGAACCAATCATTCGGTGAAACTAATTATTTCAATGAATAATAAGTCCATAAGACACTTTCATGCCCTGGATGGTCCATGGGTGAAGCCTAGGAAATTCAAACCAAGAGCTTTGCAGATGGGATGAAACCCTAGGTCTGCCAAAGGGTTTTGCTCCAATTTTGAAATCCTGAGGGTGGAATATACCAACCCTACACCCCTAGGTATGAAAAAGTGATTACCTATGTCTCATTCCAATCAGCAGGAGTAGCTCAGAAAACACAAAAAAATGCCATTGGCAGTTTCTGCATTGTAGCATTGAAATGTTCTCGATTTTGTGATTTTACATCATTGTTGTCATTGTGATGTCACACAAGTGAAATGGGGTGAAGGATAGAACATATTCTTACACCGCTTTCCTGTCCTGGACAGTTCTATCATATACACAGGAAAAAAATCCTGTAAAAAAATTACAAATTGATAAACATGGATATTTTCTATATATTAACACTTACTCTGCATTGCCACTAACACTACCATGGCCAGTTCCGTGTTATGAGACCATAACACAGGTGTAGTGATACCTCCACGGGTCTGACTGACTACCAGATCTCTATTCTCCTCGGCACTAGCAAGCATATAAGCAAAAAAAACCCACTATGGTTCAATAATATTCACAGTTTTATATAAGACTATAAAATGTGAATTGAAAATATTGATTGATTGAATATGGAAATTGTATTGATATTTTTGTGTTTATTTCATCGAGCTATATTTTTTACGGGGAAGGTCACAAGACAACATTCCATGAGCAATTCCATGGGCTGTTCTACCTCTGAAACAACCACTGCAAAATACGAACTTAAAAGTGCGTTGAGAACTTAGAAATGAAAATTAAAACAATGAAAAATGTAAATATAAGCATAAAACAGCATTCTCTTCGGTGTTATTAACGCATGTTATGATTATTTGTCTGTAATCCTGTTCCGTGTTATAGGACCATAACATGGAACAGAATGCTGTTTAATACTTAAATAGGTAAAGAAGTTATTGTTTCATTACAGAAGGATATTTTTTATTATTTGTCTCAAAAATCAAATTATCAATATATTTAAGATAATGAAAATTTCCTTAAGTAATGAAACAATAACTTCTATATCTAAATAGCAAATATTTACTTTTATCACTTTGTCTTTTTATGAAATATATTTTGCTGTCATCCTAATTACAGAGGTGTCACAAAATGTTTCTACCAATCTACTGGATCCTAGGAAATAATTGTGTGTTGCTGCTTGTTTTTGTGTTGTCAGATTTACTCTGTGGTACATAGCATACCTGAACTGTGTAATTACCTGCCTAAGCCAGCCGAAGAAAGAGAGTATGATGTGATAGAAAAAGGTTCGTATCAGGGTGTTGGAGTCCATCCTTTTCTTTATCTGAACTTTGAACATTGTTATAATAAACATATAAAAAGACTTCTTTATAGACACAATATGCTGTGTATCATATTTTCCTTTTAGATGTGAATACAAGTCAAAATCAACACTTTATAATTATACGTTTAATAGATAGAGAATGTTACCATGTGGAATTGATGAATGATGAAAAAATATCTACCAGGTAGATACTTCCTTAAAAGGATTAAAACAAAATATTAATTTGAAACATTGGACAAATTTATGGCTTTTTAATCAAAATATTGAATTTCTCTGTTTGTTGGATGAGTATTGATTGTGTTTATGATTTATAGATGAGCGATATGTGTATCCCAACTTGAAGCGGTTCGTGGTACAGCTGTACAGCCCGACTTCCTGGGAGGTAGTACCCAACACAAAGTAAGTAGGCCAGAACGGTACGGCCACAACAGTACAAATTGGCCACAACAGTACATAGTAGGCCACAACTGTACATAGTAGGCCACAACAGTACAAATTGGCCACAACAGTACATAGTAGGCCACAACAGTACATAGTAGTCTAAACAGTACATATTAGGCCACAACTGTACAAAGTAGGCAACAACTGTACATAGTAGGCCACAACAGTACATAGTAGGCCACAACTGTACATAGTAGGCCACAACTGTACAAAGTAGGCAACAACAATACATAGTAGGCCACAACAGTACATAGTAGGCCACAACTGTACATAGTAGGCCACAACAGTACATAGTAGGCTACAACTGTACAAAGTAGGCAACAACTATACATAGTAGGCCACAACAGTATATAGTAGGCCACAACAGTACATAGTAGGCTACAACTGTACATAGTAGGCCACAAAAGTACATAGAAGTCTAAACAATACATATTAGGCCACAACTGTACAAAGTAGGCCACAATAGTACATAGTAGGCCACAACAGTACATAGTAGGCTACAACTGTATATATAAGGCCACAATAGTACATAGTACTCTAAACAGTACAAAGTAGGCCACAACTGTACAAAGTTGGCCACAACAGTACATAGTAGGCCACAACAGTACAAATTGGCCACAACAGTACATAGTAGGCCACAACAGTACAAATTGGCCACAACAGTACATAGTAGGCCACAACAGTACAAATTGGCCACAACAGTACATAGTAGGCCACAACAGTACAAATTGGCCACAACAGTACATAGTAGGCCACAACAGTACATAGTATGCTACAACTGTATATATAAGGCCACAATAGTACATAGTACTCTAAACAGTACAAAGTAGGCCACAACTGTACAAATTAGGCCACAACAGTACATAGTAGGCCACAACAGTACAAATTGGCCAAAACAGTACATAGTAGGCCACAACAGTACATAGTAGGCTACAACTGTATATATAAGGCCACAATAGTACATAGTAGTCTAAACAGTACAAAGTAGGCCACAACTGTACAAAGTAGGCAACAACTGTACAAAGTAGGCCACAACAGTACATAGTAGGCTACAACTGTACATATAAGGCCACAACAGTACATAGTAGGCTAAACAGTACAAAGTAGGCAACAACTGTACATAGTAGGCAACAACTGTACATATTAGGCCACAACTGTACATAGTAGGCAACAACTGTACAAAGTAGGCCACAACTGTACAAAGTAGGCCACAACTGTACAAAGTAGGCCACAACTGTACATATTAGACCACAACTGTATATAGTAGGCCACAACTGTACATATTCGGCCACAACTGTACAAAGTAGGCAACAACTGTACATATTAGGCCACAACTGTACAAAGTAGGCCACAACTGTACAAAGTAGGCAACCACTGTATATAGTATGCCACAACAGTATATAGTAGGCCACAACAGTACATAGTAGGCCACAACAGTACATAGTAGGCCACAACAGTACATACTAAAGTAGTAGGCCAAAGCTACCTAGACTGATTTTTAAATGAAATAGAGGATAGTGACAGGTTCCAATTGTGACACCAAATCATTATGACAATTGATAAATTGAACATTTGAGAATTATTTGAATCTGCTGAAAAGAAATGAAGTTAATCTATGTACATGTAAATGTATGAACTCTCCTTTGATATGTTTAATATGTTCCTTTATTTTATCTTTAGGTAAGGCTTTTCAAAAGCTCTTCAGCTATCAACCTCATGTACAGAGAATAACTCTAGAATTGATTGCTTTATATGGATAATTCTCTACGTGCATAAATCAAATGTTGACTTAATTTGCAGGATTGAACTGGACCAATGGGAGCATGCTACAATTATGAAGTGTGTGTCACTGAAGTCAGAAGGGACTTTAACAGGCTTAAAGTCCTTTGGGGTGATCGGGACGACAGTCTGCTACGGGGAGGAGGTGCAGTGTCGAGGCAGGGTAAGTCACAGTCTGTTACGGGGAGGAGGTGCAGTGTCGAGGCAGGGTAAGTCACTGTCTGTTATGGGGAGGAGGTGCAGTGTTGAGGCAGGGTAAGTCACTGTCTGTTACGGGGAGGAGGTGCAGTGTCGAGGCAGGGTAAGTCACAGTCTGTTACGGGGAGGAGGTGCAGTGTCAAGGCAGGGTAGGTCACTGTGTTTTAGGGAGGAGGTGCAGTTAAGAAATTATCAAATTGCTTGTATTAAGTTAAATTAAATGGCAAATATAAATGACATGTATTCGCTTCCTACCTGGTAACTTCCAAAAGTCATACTATATATCAGGAAACATTTTCCTCATTAAACTTTCACCCTTTACCCATACAATCAATTTTTCGCCCCGGGCTTAATTTCACCCTATCTCATTCAATTACTGTACTTCTCTCAATTCCATATATGTAAGATAGAGCTGTCCATGGTAAGAAAGGGGTGTAGGAAATTCCTATCTAACACCCCATTTCACGTAACGTGATGTCACAATGGCTCAACAATGACGTGACGTCACATATTCTGATGCTGGAATGCGGAAAGGTGATGTGATGAAATTAAAACCTTTTACGATGTATTTACTGTACACATTAGAAAGATGTGTTTAACGTTTCGGCGCAAACTTTTTTGAGAATATGGATTATGCAAAATTTCGCTGATAAATTTGTTTTCATCAAAAAAGCTCAGGTGAAAAGTTGATATTTTCAAAACGGTAGCCAATCTAAACACATTTTCATGATATTTGAGCTTATTCTGGTAGATGGAATGAGAGAAAATACTCTTTCATGCTCAAAGGTGTAGGATAGGGAAATTTCACCCTCTGGATTTTCAAATTTGGTAAAATCCGAGGCTTTGAAAATCCCTCAGGTAGAATTTCCCTATCCTACACCCCTGGTCATTAGAGTCATATAATATTATGTTGTTTAGTTACATTTTCTGTAATGATAAATTTGCCTTCATTTCGGAGGGTGAAAATTAACCTGTGGCGAAAAATTTCCCGGTATACAGTATACTGGATAATGACCAGAAATGGACTCGGTGAAGTCTGATCATCATGTGTAGAATAAAATCTTTTGGTATTTTGAACAAGAAGAAATGTTACAGAAATGAGCTATTTGCTACCTTTATTAATATCTTGTGGTATAAGTAGTATAACACTTCATCACGAGAGTCCAATATATCTCTAAGCTGGTCAAAATAGCATGTATGATTGCCTTGTGACTGCGAATATTTCTCTTGCTGCTTCATTGAGATAGCCATTTCTGAGATTTTCACTTCAGATCTGATCATACCTGGTCATGTTGCTGAACATGAAAACGATGACCACATCAGGTTATAGTAATTGCCATCTGGTTACGAGATTAAATAATTGGAATGATCAGACAAAATCTGGTCATTACATTGACAGGTACGCTTTTTGGGGGGGAAAATAAACGAAATCTTATAGATTGGAATTGTAATAGGTACAATATGAGATTGAATGTCTTTTAAACTAACAGCTATGTAACCAGAGGTTTCATTGGTTGTAGATATTGATTTACTATGTAACCAGAGGTTTCATTGGTTGTAGATATTGATTTACGACATCATAGAAGTCGTGCCAGAACCGGGACAGCCTCTCACGAAAAACAAAATCAAGGTAGGAAACTGTACTGTATTTCTCATTTCCCATATATTCAAGTATTGAAAAATAAATATTGATATTTCTCTCTAGATGCAGTGAAATCTCATTCACCCCTGAAAATTACTAATGAACTATTTCAACCTTTCTATTGTAAGAGTTCAAATTTTTGTTCAGGGTAAATGAGTTTACACATTTTGGAAACCCAAAATATATATCAAACTAATGACTGGCACTAGACAGGATTGAAGTAAGGAGTAGTTACACAGATGTTTTTGTATTATTATCAGATTTTACCCTTAAACATTATGAAAAAAAATTGAACATATATTTAATAATAGTTATATTAACCTTCAATTATCATGTCTGAACATTGTTTTATTGCACTCAGGTTGTCTATGCCAAGGAGCAGAAAGGACCAATCACAGCCCTGGCTCATATCTGCGGCCTTCTGGTCACTGCCATTGGTCAAAAGGTACGTCATGATTGACCAGTTAAAGTGCTTGAATACAAATTGTATCTGTGGCCTTCTGGTCACTGCTTTTGGTCAAAATCAAGTCATGTTAGACCAATCATGCATCTAGCTCACAACTGTGGAGGACCTAATCATTGTTATTGGTCAAAGTGTAAGTAAAATTAGACCAATCACAGCACTAGCTCACATCTATGACTTTCTGGCCAAAACGTCAGTCATGATTGACCAAACACAGCAGTGTTTTACCTGCAAAAAGGCTATACCAAGTGCAAAATAGTTTTGAAAAGATTGACAATATTTTCCCATTGTTTTCTAATTGGTTGAAAAGAAATTAAATCGGTAGAAAAAGAAATCTATATGGCATTCTCTACTAAATTTTGGTATCATTATCTTTTGTCTTTTTCACCCTCCATAATGAGGGCGAAAAATGTGAAAGTGAACATTAGAAAATAATTTAATAAACACAGTAATCAAATAAATGTGAAGGCGAAATTACCTCTGGGCATATACAGAATTTACTGCCATAGGGCGAAAACTTCCCAGTATATAGTATGTTCACTATCATTGTGATGCCAAAGTAACGAGTTAGAACACACTCACAAATAAATGTAGGCTCCTCCACCAGACTTGTTTGTATCAGATTTTTAGAATGTGTCATCCCTAGAGATTTTTTTTTTTTTAGAATTAATGTCACTCTATAGTCCTAATATTTCTACCTCCTAGCCTTTCTCAAGGACAATAGTCAATGGATTCAAGTAACTTCCATCTTGCTTCTTCAGAGGAAGAAGAAATGACGTACAAAATGTTTGATGTCATCATGACTCATTGAATCTATGACATCATCTGTTGTTGATTTAGACCAGGAAACTATTTGTATTCCAGAGCAAAGCTTTGCCAAGTCATGGACAAAATAAATTCCGTCACAAGAAAAAATAAATTAGAATGGTAATAAAAATATTTGGAAAATTCTACACTAACAGAAAATGATACATGTTTGACCACACTGTATATTGTGTCCTTCCTAGATGTACATCTGGCAGTTTAAAAATGACGACTTGGAGGGCGTGGCTTTCATCGACTCTTACATCTACATCCACAACCTTGTCACCGCGAAAAACCTTATCCTGGCCTCCGACCTGCTCAAGAACGTCAATATCTACCGATACCAGGAGGACTTCAAGGTTCTGTCGCTCGTCAGCAGGGTAGGTGCTAAGTCATCCTCCTGGTTACAGGTCAATCTCTAAAAGTTTTGTACTTTTTTATCGAGGTCAAGCCTTTCTCTGCATTCAGATTTCATTATTTTGTGTACATGTTTCTGATGGTTAATATATTCTGATCACACCTGTTGGGGATTTCTATGGCTCCGTAACATAATTTCAAATTGAAATATTATTAACTTTAGTAAAGATTAGATGATGTTTATTTAAATGTTTATTTTCAGGATGTGAAACAATCGGAGACTTACGCGTCCCAGTTCCTCATTGATAACAACCTACTGTGTTTTGTCGGTAAGCCAACAATCATTGCTTGAGCACCAGTCAGTCCAATAGTTAGGCCAGCTTTATGTTTCAGCTATGTTTGTGATAAAGTCTTCTAAATCAATATTATAGAACATTATTATTATGTTTAGAGTGAAATGGAATAGACAGATCAAATATCAGTGTTTTACATTGTTCTTAAAAGTATTCACTTGAAAAGTGATTAGCTGGTATCAAGCAGTGTGTCTGAATATAAAGTATCTAGTATTGGTCTCGAATTGTTGAATCGTTCTCTTACTGTCACTCTGTGTACACAAATTCTTGTGTTTTGGCAGTCACATTTTTGGGTTCTGTTTCTGTTTCCAGTGACGGACAGTCTGAAGAATATCATTGTTTACACCTACCAACCAGAAGGTAAGATACTTATTATAAAGCATATAATAATATAAATATATATAATATGTATAAGCATATATATGATGCTTACTTCGCAAAATTGTAATCTGTGTGAATTCAATTTTTAGCTCACCTGGCACGAAGTGCCAAGTGAGCTTATGCCGTGGCGCGGCGTCCGGCGTCAATATTTTACTTTAAAACAACTTCTTCTTAATAACCGAAAGGCCTAGGGTGTCGATATTTGGCCAGAAGCAAACTTGGATGAAGGGCTACAAAGTTTGTTAAAATTAATGACCTTCACTTATTTTCAAGGTCACAGGGGTCAAATATGTCAAAAACTTTAAACATCTTCTTTTCAATAACCAAAATGCCCAGGGAGTTGATATTTGGCCAGTAGCATGCTTGGGTGAAGGGCTACCAAGTTTGTTCAAATGAATGACCTTCAATTATATTCAAGGTCACAGGGGTCAATTGTATTAAAAAACCTTTAAACAACTTCTTCTGAATAACCAAAATGC